TGAAATATAATTCTTGGAAACAGTACTTGTATAAGTGGAGTGGGAACAGAGCATATTTGAAGAGCAGTTACAATTGTTGTAATCACGTTAGCCAGTGGTGGAAATGGTAGAAAAAGTAGATTGTCAGGATTGTCCAAAATAGCTAGATCCAAAAAAGAAATGCTTGCAGCAATAGTTTTGGCTAAACATAAAGGAAAAGGAGGAGGTAGAACTCGACGTCCATCCATACCTATAGCTAGTAGCAATGTGCGGAAAACTGCATATATTTCTGACGCGCGTAACAAAAGCGAAAAAAATGCTTTGTTAAAACAGGTTGTGAAAGTTTTGAGTATTTCTTTCACTCGTGAGCTATACTGATGATAAAGAACTCACGAGTTTATTCAGATGTYGAAAGAATGAAGTGTAACACATAGTTTTTGTCACCTAATTACCGAAGGTATTGTTGTTTTTTGATATAMAACCTGCACGAGTATTGGCAAAGAAGCCAGACTTAACCATACCTCTTGGTGTTCGGACCTGTTTCTAGTTCAAAATCATGGAAGATGAAAACATTTTTTTGAGAGCAGCTCTCAGCAAAAGTATAGAAATACCAACGGTACAATTCAAGAAACCAGAATTGACAAGCGAAAGCAGGCCTTCTTGTTCGTATTCGAAAACAGACGACATGAAAAGAGGTAAACCGCCCAGCAAAGCAAGAAGAATGTCGACTGAGTCAAAACCTCGTTGAAGTAAAATACGAAGTACCGAAGTAGAAAAAGTGCTAGTAGGTGAGGGGTTTCGCAAGTATKGCATGGACAGCAAGGCAACCGTTCATTTCATGATAAAGCACCAAGAAATGTTAGACGACGACCTAAAGAGTTACTATGAATCAGTGAGGAAGCCAGGTGGCCTGACAATGAATTCAGCAATAGACAGGGTTCGAAGGCTGCAGAAAAAGAAACTAGAGAAATTGAGGTAAGTTTTGGTATTTCCATTTTGCCAGCACGTTAATAGGGGCAGCCAAATAAYGTTTTTTTTTTCTGTTCATTTTCTTCAAATTCAGCCGTGAATCTTCACCAAAGAACGAAAAAACACTTGCTTGTGAAGAATATTGTAGTGAAGACGATTCTGAACTGAGTGGACAGGATGCCTGGGAAGAGGCAGCAGAAACGACGAAGAAAAAAGATACTCGATTTGTCAAACCTATCTTGCAAGACTCTTTGTCGTGGGAAGATGTCGTGGCTGCGATTAACAACGACTGTGACACTACAGAAAGCACAGAAAAAACTGGCATGTAAACGTATGTTACAAAGCAATATCTTAAAACTGAGGGCAAATATTTTACCCGTGAAAGATTTGGAAGGAAATTATAACTAACTTAAAAAACTCATACATAATTAATGAGCTACTAGGCCAATAGAATGAGCCTATTTGGTCACATGCATGGACCTTTATATCTGATAAAACACTMCTTATTAGTATTCTTTATATAAAGAATATTAATAAGGGTGACCTTTATCAGATATAAAGATCCATGACCCTAGCAAAGGTCTCAGGTTTGAAACCTGATCATTGACCAATGCAGGATGTCAACCGATTTCAGTGAACATCCAAGAGCGGTTCTATTTTATGCGTATTCAATGTGGGATGACAAGAGTGCTTTGTAAAGTGATTCGCGCATGATCAGTTTTGCCCCATTTATCTCTGAACATATTTGTACGGCAATTTCTCCAAGAATTTTAACGGATTTGAGTTTCAAATTAGTGTTGGAGTTTTTTAAGCCGTTTAAAACACTCTCTCTCGTGTTTTAAACTATACTTATGTCTCATTAGACAAAAATAGTCAAGCTATGCGCTGAGAGAGAACGCGAATAAGTCACAAATTAGTCTCGCTATTTCATGGATATAGAGTGAAGGCATTAAATTAACTCGAGGAATAAAAATTGCTTGCTAAAGT